TATAGTAATATGATGACTCAAAAGTATGAAATTAGAATCACAATAAGTTATTGACAAGTTTCAAAGCATTCAAGGACAGCGCATTTATCCATGCGATATAATATAACCAGAGGTATCAAAGACTAGCGATGGCGATGGCGGCGCCCACTCGTCCTGTTTTGCATGGCACTGTTCCGCGTTGCTCATTAGCTCTCACATTAATTTACGGTACAGGTTTGTGTATGCATAGACAGCCGTGTCCCCGATGACGAAGGGCCTGAACACTAGGGTTGAACACCAAATAGAAAACCCTATTGAAATTGATAGACATTGCTGGCAGGGTAGGGGGCGGACGACGCATATTTATTCCAGTCCAATCCAGAGATATGGAGATTATATCTTGGTTATTAAATATTGAATTTAAGATGTGTTAGTCCAGAAAGCGTAAGTATATTTGTTATATTGTGGAATACAATGTCAAAATTATTTAATTAGTGTTTCAGTTGTTTGTCAACCCTGAGCGGCAGGTCCGACGGCCAGATAAGCGGCGTTTAACTGTAAAGCACTGATTACTAACACGTTTAAAGAATGTCGTACATGGGAATCACATTATCGCCATTCGTAGGCCAGGCCTAGGGCGGTCTGATGCTAGCGTTGTCAGCATGTCAGTGGACAGCATCAAGACGTGCGACACTAAGCCGAGCAACACGGGACTCTACGAATAATTTAAATAAATAGAGACAAGGCAAAGGAATAGTTATACTTGTATTTACGAATTAACGTTAATTTCCCTTACTATGTCATCATCACCAGCTAAATATACGTTCCCTTTGAGGGTCTTGGAGCCTACCCGAAGTTTGACTTCTTACTTGTCTTTGAAATTCTTCGCAGATATATGCAGGCATTGCGATGTTTTCCTTCATCGTAAAAACGTCGGGTAAATTATGTACTTATGAAATTCGAAAATCGCATTGGTACATGGCGGGATTAGAACACTGGACCTGTAGATTAGTCAAGTGATCAACTCCCTGTGCCACCGACGCTCTACTTATGCGTAGAGTTGTAAATATCACTGGGTTCCGTGGTATATAAGGCGATGCATGTCACAGTTCCGAGCAGCCTCCATTAGCGGGCTCTAACAAAGTAGTGTACCCCGATAATACGTCAACTCTAACATTCATCTTCGTTTATTTGTCATTTGCTGATAGATATTAAACAGTTTTATAGAGTAGTCAAGACTTTAAACGAAAGACAGAAAGAAGATACTTGTCATCTGTACACGTCTATTTTACACGACATAAAATTACAAAGATGAAAGAACAAGTAAGAAATTGAACAGTTACAAATAACTATTATTTTCGTTCTAATGATAATAACACAAGCTTTCGCAGATCGAATCTAGTCATTATAACATGAATCTGCACGCGAAATTGTCATTAAAACTATAAATTAATGTAAATAAAACAAGATCGTTTATCAACGACGGCAATGTTCCAACAAATCAAAGCACAAAATCAGCTCCAGAGATACAAATGCAAACGGACACGCCCTTAATTCCCAATTACAGTGCAAGCTCAGCGAGAGCCTTTCACTCCTTACCATCTAAATGTTCTGTATTCATGTATTTTGAATGTACAGTTGGGGAAGTTTATTTCCTACCCATGTCGTTGAAATACCACTTGAATAGCAATAAGCCTATAGAGGTAGAGGTAGACCTTGAAGGAGATGAATGGTTTGCGTGACCTTTCACCTATGACATGATGAAGGCAGGAGTGATGACAGAGATGATGTATGATAGAATAATGTGGAAGACAAAAACCCGTTGCGTCGACCCTACGCGAGTAGGAAAAAGAAGAAGATGATGAGCGTGTTGTAGAATTTTGATCTTAGATAGGATGCGAATTTAATTCTTTGTTTTGAGGTTCAAGGAACCGGGTGAGTATTGACGGTGACTGTTTTGTAGACTACCCTACATGGCCGCTCTTGATAAATCATTAAATCAATTTGATTATCTACAAACAAATCATTACCAGTTGAAAGCGCAGTCGACCAATCGATGATTATAACTAACAAGTAACAAGCATCTTCAATTAAAATTACATTTTCCGTAATTTACAGTACAACATTGTTTGAACATTGACGTCGCCAAAAGATAGGTATTCGAAGTTAGGACGTTTTTTAATCATTACTTAAAGGGTTAAAAATTAAAATTTAGATCCAGCATTTTATAACACAAATGCGAATAGTAACAAAACTGAATTTTAATTTAGATTCTAAAACTGCATCATACTAATACTATAAATGCGAAAGTTTAGATGGATGGATGTTAGTTTGTAGCCTAAACGGTTGAACGGATTTTGATGAAATTTAGCACAGATGTAGAGGATAATCTGGACAAACACATAGGCTACTCATTTTTGTTTATTCCACGCGATCGGAGTCGCTGGTGAAAGGAAAATAATAAGAGAACATATATATTCAAAACAACGATTTTTAATAAGTATTTCGTAAGATTTTCTGTATTCTCAAAAAGGAACGATAATGTACCAATTAATTTTGTTTTCACGTACACGTAAGGGTATTCAGAAGTATCGTTATTTTGGACAGTTTATGAACGTAAAAAGATTTATTTATAAAAAATCGCTATCATTTAAACTCAAATAGGCGCTGTATAAGCTTTTCCCTGCACAGACCGCTTTCAAATGTTTTTGCAAGGCCTCGACGTTTTGATCCTATATACGGCGTGTATAAAAATTCATGTTCAAGTCGTTACTTTGCAATGAATATTTATAAGAGCGGTACAAAATGTGAAAGATTTGATACTGATAAGCGAAGGTGGCAAGCTCAGTAGCGCGTAAGGAGATACCTGTTTTTGCTGATATTGAAAGTTGACGGTTGACAATTTTCGAACACCCTATATATGAGAAAATGGTGAAGTATTTTTAGGGTATAGGACATTAATAATTCATAAGTTGACACCTTTAGTTATCAATATCTTTGTTTTTATAAAAGAAATTTTTGTACACCCAAATAATAAAAATCTATTTTTGGCTTTATGGCTCATTCTTTTGGATGTTTGAATATGAGTGGAAATTTTAATTACGACATAACATATTACGATACTAAGATTTATTTTAACAGTCCATATTTATATGGTAAAAGGTTCTGGAGCTAGTAACAAGTCAGGCAGTTATTTCAAAATGAATTTTCATACAGGTTTGACCATATCTAGAGTTTACATCTAAAAACATCTATAATAGCATGCTCTTACTAGCTTTCGTCCGCGACTCCGTCCACGTGGATTAAAAAAACAATAGTGAGTAGCCTACGTGTTCTTCCAGACCATACTCTACATCTGTGCCAAATTTCATCGAGATCCGTTCAGCTGTTTAGGTTCAAACTCTAACAAACATCCATTCATCTATCTAAACTTTCTCATTTATGATATTAGTAAGATATTTTATGATAACAAATTGGTATTTCATTTAATAGCAATTAAAAAAATCAGTATATTTCTAACCTAATAACACATTACTGTATTATTTTAGCAACATACAGTTCTCGTTCTCACGATTTCACGTCAAATTGAGGAGGTCTCAAGTTTTCTAAGGAAGAGGCAT